TAAAAATAGTGTAATCCCCTATTTCACGCCGTGAATACAGTCGAATACAATAATTTGTCCAGCTGTAATCCCGTGTTTCACGCCATGAATACAGTCGAATACACTCGAATACAACAACTGATTAGCTGGACTTCCTTGATTCACGCCTATTTTTGCTACTGTATTCATGAATACAGTAGCTTAAATACATCTAATACATCTTATAACAACAGAAAACGTATCTACAATCCGTAATATAACAAATGGTATCTATAGATAATTAATTACCACTAAAAGACAGTGCTTTATGAAAATTTCCCTTTAATATACTTAGGAATGTCTATATATAGAGACCTGGCTGGCCCAAACTACTAAACTCTCCTAACCACCTAACCAACTAAACATTATACATCTGAATAAATACAAAGGTGGTTTTTGAGGCCCAATACAAAGGAACACTAACAGTAACTAATACTAACTATCAGATTTATTACTCCCTCTGGTCCACAATAAATGATCATTTTACCTTTTTATTTTGGTTCAAAATAAGTGTCCATTTACATAATCAAGAAGGAATTAATTTTATTTTTCCAAAATTTTCCCTTATTTAGATATTCCAATGTGTTAAGGTAATAATTAATTAAAGTTAATTTAGTGAATACATATTTTTTTTATATAGGAGTTCGTATTTCTTTAATGAGTATGTCAAAGGTAAAATGGTCACTTGTTGTGGGCCGGAGGGAATATGTAATACAATGTGCACTAATCTCAACACACCCCAACAAGTTGAAGGGTGAGATAACCCCTAACTTCTGAAGATGTAAATGATGAACAACACCTATTAAAGGCTTAGTGAACATATCAGCAAATTGAGTGGCACTAGAAGTATGAGATAGCTGAATCAACCCTTCATTGAGCTTACTCCTGACAAAGTGACAATCAAGCTCAATATGCTTAATCCGCTCGTGAAAACCTAGGTTCTTAGTAATGTATATGGCAGCTTGATTATCATAAAAAAAGTTGAATGGGAGAAGGAACTTGTGCACCAGGATCAAAAAGAAGATGGGAAACCCAAGTAATTTCAGCAGTGTCTTTGCTCACAGCCTTGTACTCAAGCTCTGCAGAGGACAAAGAAACTACAGACTGTTTCTTTGATTTCTAGCCCACTAAACTGCCTCCCAGTAAGATACAGAAGCCAGAAACAGACCTCCCACTTTCTGGACAAGCCTCTCAGTCGCTATCATAAATAATTGAAAAAATACCAAAGTTAGAGGTACCTTTAATGTACCTGAGTAGATGCAAAGTTGTCTGCATGTGAGGAAGACATGGCTTCTGCATGAACTTACTTAAATGTTGGACTGAAAAGGAAATGCCAGGTCTGGTGCTAGTGAGAAAGTTCAGCTTCCCAATCAAACATCTATAGCTCTCAGGATTTGGTAACATATCACCTTCACTAGCTTTCAGCTTTTCATGCATCTCAAGAGGGCACACAACAGATGAATAATCAGAAGAACGGAACTCCTTGAGGAGATCATGAATGATTTTTTTTATGAAGTACGACCCCAGATTCAGTGTGCAGCACTTCAATCCCCAAGAAGTAATTGAGGTGACCTAGATTCTAAATTTTAAACTGCTCATGGAAAAACGCTATCACAATAGACACCTCAGCTTATTAGTTCCAGTGATGATTACATCATCTACATACACTACCAAAATGACAAAAGACTCCCAAGAACCCAAACTAAACAGAGAATAATCATTTAAAGAATCACTACAAGAAATCATGAATATGACAATATTTATTTAGTGTCATTTAACATAAATGTCGGAAAATTATATAATTTTCTGACATTTTCTTTAAAAAAGGAAGTCACAAAACAGTGACATTTGATGAAAAATGTCATAAAATATTGTGACTATTAATTCAAATGTCATTTATTAGATGGCAATTAATGACACTTTTAATTTAATGTCATCATATCAGCCAACATTTGGAGAAAATAGTCCGTACAAAATAGTAATAATTAAAAGTTAAAACATAATTTATTCCCTCCAATTCCCTCCACTAAAAGATTACTAAAAATTCACTCTATGCAATTCCTATTTACTCTCTAAAATTACCTTTGCCCTCATTATGCTCACCACATCGTCAATTCGTTCCTGTCCATTGCCGCACTTTCCCTTCTCTTCCACCATCGCCCGCCACCGTCTTGAGGTAATCCTAACTCATCTCTTGTAATGTTCGAGAAGGCTGAGGTTTGAGTCGAAGAAGATGAAGAAATGATTTAGGAAAGTAAGGAGCTAGGGTAAAAAAAAGAAGGGCACATGCACATTAGACAAGCACGTGTTAAGGGAATCAGACGGCTATCATTACAAGTAGAGGATATTAATAAAGGGTCCAGATTAGTCCTTGTGTAACCGATTGGGCCTCAATCTGTTATAACAGATTGGGCTGGAATTAGAAGTTAGTTTTTGACCGGTAATCTTCTAATTTCCTCTCTTTCTCTCTCTACTTTCTCTCTTCTTTTACAGTCCTAATTCTCTTCTAATTCGTGCATCTCCATTACAGGTTCAAGTGAAGATCTTCAATGGAACCACATTATTCTTGTAACCCTTGGGAGTTACTAATGTTGTAATTGAGAACTATCATTGTATTTATTTAGCAATCAATAAAACTCCATTGTTGCCCATTTCCATTTCTATTCTACTGTTCAATTGAGTATATTACAAATTGGTATCAGAGCAATTCCTGGCCCCATTATTATAAAAAAAATGACAATCGCTGAAATTAGATCCAAATCTATGAAGGAAAATGTTAAAAAACTAGAAACCTAGCTACAGAGTCACATGGAGAAGACAGAGATGAAATTTGAAGCCACAGATGCCAAAATAGATGAATTGGCAAGGAAGCTTAATGTGCTAGTGGAGAAGTTAATTCTGAATCAAGCAGGTATCCTGGGAAGTGCTCCTTCTGGGAGTCATTTTCTTAAAACTTCTGAAGGCAGACATAAGAGTGAACACAGGCGAGAGACATTCACTCCTGGCATTGGAGAGAGAAACTATCATCACAACTCCAATTCGAGAGTGGATTTTCCATATTTCGATGGAGCAGGAGCAGCAGATCCATGTTCATGGCTGAGGAGGTGTGAGCAATACTTCCACTACAATCACATCACTGAGCAAGGGCAGAAACTGGAAGAAGCAGTCCTTTATCTTCAAGGTAGGGCTGAAGCTTGGTATTTTTCCTATCAAGTAAGTAGAGGAAATGTTAGCTGGCAAGAGTTTTGTGAGGAGTTGTGTAAAAGATTCCAAGATGTTAAAAATAGTAAATTTAATCTCATAGGAGAATTTAAGAAATTTGAGCAGAAGGGTAGTGTTAATGATTACTTAGAGAGGTTTGAAGATTTGAAGGCTTGGGTGTTGATTAGGAGTCCCACAATTCCTGAAAATTTCTTTCTAGATTTTTTTGTAGAAAGCCTGAAGGAGGAAATAAGGCATACAGTCAAAATGCTCAATCCCTTTACTCTAAGTCAAGCAGTAGAAAAAGCTAGACATCAGGAAAAGGTCATAGATTCTTGGGCTAAGAAAGGGAAAATGATAGGGGGAAGGAGTTTGATGCCCCTCAATACCAGTGGACCAAGTTCAGCTAATAACCATAGAAGTGCAGGATTCTCAAGTCAGGGTAATAAACTATTTGAAACTAGAAAAGCTCAAGGATTGTGTTATAAATGTGGGGAGAAGTATCAGCCTGGTCATCAATGTAAAAATAAACAGCTACAGCTATGTCTGGGACCATGAAACCATCTGAAGATGAGGTTCAACCAAGGTTTGAAGAAATAGGGGAGGAGATCTTAGAAGTATAGAAAGGGGAAACCATGGATGAAGCCATTAGCTTGAATGCTCTTTCAGGTACTGAAGTGCCAAACACCATTAGTCTTAAGGGAGAGTCTAAGAAGAACACCATGACAATCCTACTTGATTTAGGAAGCACTCATAGCTTCCTGGACTTAGAGACAGTAAAGAAAATGGGGTGTGTTATCAAAGAAATTGTTCCTATGAGAGTGACAGTAGCCAATGGGAATCATTTGTGCAGTCTGTACACTTGTCCCAAATTCAGGTGAAAAATACAAGGAATAGAGTTTGAGGACTCAGTGAGATTACTGAGACTTGGGGGTAATGACATGATCTTGGGGAGAGATTGGATGAAAGGTCACAATCTTGTCATATTGGACTTCATAGAGTATAAAGTTCAGGAGACACACAAGGGAAAAAGGGTGGAACTTAGGGGCATCTATCACCAAGGTGAACTAAGGAGTATGAATGCTACTGGGGTTAAGTAATTACTCAAAAAGCGTCAAGCTATATTGGCTAACTTGTTCACTATATCAGCAGCAGAAGCACAGTTAGAGGAAAATATACTTGCAGCTATCCAACAAGTACTGAAGGAGTTTTCAGATGTCTTCTCTGAGCCCAAGACCTTGCCACCTAGGAGAAATCATGACCACTTCATCCCTCTGAAAGTAGAAACAAATCCAGTTAGCATCAGACCCTACATGTATAATTTCTTTCAAAAGAATGAAATAGAAAAACAAGTAAATGAAATGCTTCAGAATAGAATTATTCAGCCCAGTCATTCACCATTTTCTTCACCTGTTTTACTAGTGAAAAAGAAGGATGGTAGTGGGAGATTTTGTATTGATTATAGAGCCTTTAATCACATGAATGTAAAAGACAAGTTTCCAATTCCCTTGGTAAATGACTTAATAGATGAATTACATGGTTCATGCATATATTCTAAGATAGATCTTAGGGATGGTTATCATCAAATTAGAATGGGGGACAAGGACATATATAAAACTGCATTTAGCACATACTTGGGGCATTATGAGTTTAAGGTTATGCCCTTTGGGCTAACCAATGCACCAGCTATATTCCAGTCCCTCATGAATCATGTGTTTCAAGCTTACTTAAGGAAGTTTGTCCTAGTCTTCTTTGATGACATTTTAGTCTACAGTGCATAAATGGAAGATCATGTGCTTCACCTTAGGAAGGTGTTAAGTATACTGAGGAAAGAACAGTTGTTTGCTAAACTGTCCAATTGTTCCTTTGGTCAGCCTAAGGTGGAATACCTAGGACACATTATATCTGGAGAAGGGGTCTCTACTAATCCCTCAAAAATTGAAGCTATGGCCAATTGGCCAACACCAAAATCTGTTAAGGATCTAAAGGGTTTTCTTGGACTGACAGATTATTATAGAAGGTTTGTTAAGTCCTATGGGGTTATCAGCAGACCATTAACTAACCTGTTAAAGAAGAATGGGTTTCATTGGGATGTTGATTCTGAAGCAGCTTTTCAAGCACTTAAGGAAGCAATGACTACTGCTCATGTGCTAGCCTTGGCTGATTTTAATAAATATTTTGTGGTAGAAACTGATGCATGTTCTAGTAGAATGGGAGCAATACTAATGCAGCAAGGGAAACTTATAGCCTTTTTCAGCAAGGCATTGGCACCTAGACACATGGGGTTGTCTACCTATGAGAAGGAGTATATGGTTGTTTTGTCAGCTGTAGATAAATGGAGACATTATTTGCAAGGAGACCATTTTATCATAAGAACTGACCATCAAAGCCTTAAATATCTACTTGAACAAAGAATCACTACTGCACTCTAACAAAAAGGGCTGGCCAAACTAATGGGGTTAGATTATGAGGTGCAATACAAGAAAGGTGCAGAGAACAAGGTGGCTGATGCCTTGTCAAGGAGGCAAGAAGAATACCCTACACTTAATGATATCACTGCAGCAGACCCTACTTGGATGAAGGAAATTAAGTTAAGCTATGAACAGGACCCCTAAGCTCTACAACTGATTACTGAGCTTATCACTGCACCTAACAGTAGGCCTAATTTTTCACTATCTCAGGGCATTTTGAGGCATGATTGTCACACCTCCTTTTTCCGTACCCGAGAGGGTACAAGGGAGTTTTTTTCAATTAAAGGACAATCGAAATGGGCTATGTTTATTTATTTCAGAGTCGCCACTTGGGAGATTTTAGGTTGCCCCAAGTCACCAATTTTAGTCCCGAATCGAGGAAAAAGAATGACTCTATATTACAGTCTGCGTACCAGAAATCCGGATAAGGAATTCTGTTAACCCGGGAGAAGGTGTTAGGCATTCCCGAGTTCCGTGGTTCTAGCACGATTGCTCAACTGTTATATTCGGCTTGATTATCTGATTTTATACAAATATGAACTTATGTGCGAATTTTAACTTTTTACCGCTTTCATAATTATTATTATTAAGAATGTGAACATCGCTTAAAAACATGTCTTTGGACTGCGTCACATGAAATGCACCCACAATCCGGAACATATTTTATTTGACGTTTTGGGATTTGGATTTGGGTCGCATGAAATGCACACCCAAGTTTAAGAAAGTAGATTATTAAACACGCCCCTAAAGAGACTATCGTGTTATTATATTGGGAAAGCCGTGAACTTCGCTAGATGACCCTCCTGAATTCTGAGTAATTTTAAAACAAGTATTTACTGAGGGCCCCGCAATTTGTATTTTTATTCGGTGAGGCTCATCTCA